TTGAAACACATGAACTACCATTTGCTTTTTCATTAGTTTTTTTTTTTTTAGTTTTTCCCAAAATTGACACCTTACACACCACTTGGGTCCGCCCTTTGCTGATATACCAGATAAATACTAATAAATTTCAGTTGGATTCAAACAACATAATTATATATATCAGCGGCGGATCCAGTACACGGTAGAGCATTGGGTCGCATTTCACTAGAAAATTAGATACTGTACAAAAATCAAAGTTTTTTTTACAATATCAATTGTACACGCCCATCTTTTAAATTTTAATGTAGTGAATTCATCAATAATGAAGTCTACATCCATACCAATAGCATACTCTATTTCAGATAAAATAGTGCAATTGGCGAAAAATTCATCGCTCATTTTATTACACAAATAAATTTTCACCTGTATTATTGTTGAAAAAGGTTCTCTCCATAGTAGTTGTTGAAATGGGCAATGTCAAAGCTAGACAAATAAATCGACTAATCAATTTGTATTGTGTGTCAAACCATATTTCCACCAGCTACTTGAGTAATTTTTCAAGGGAACAAGCCTCATATTTCTTTTAGTCTTTTACGTTTTAGACTTTCAAAATTTTAGGTTTCATTGTTTGTTTTTCTTTAGACGAGAATCATTGGAGCTAAAATTTCCATGCTAAATTTAGAATTGTGATTTGATATGTCCATCTGACCCATTTTTCTATTTGCACACAATTTATTATAAAATAACACTGGGCTAAAATGGCTAAAATCGATAAACTCATAAAGACTATACTAGCTCCGGATCCAGAGGATGGCTGGGCCGTGACCCGGGGTGGCCACCCCTTGGATCCGCCATTGATATATACCGACATAGCCAGGAATATGGTTGAGGTGGGTTGAACAACAGTATAAATCTTTGTGAACGATTAGCATCCAAATGATAATTGACAACCTAAATCATATGTTGGGGAATGCCATCATGTCATGGGCGACGTTTACGAGAAACAATATGAGATTTTTGTCGTTAAACAGATGGTGAATATGTTAGGGAACGACGAGCGGCAAGCGGACAAACCGAGTAGCTAGCATTTGACGCCTGGCATCATTATTTTAGGGAGGTTGTGGCTTGTGGGAATTTCGGAATCATGGTATGTGAATAGAAGCTAATAGATTGGTGATAATTTGGGGAAGATCTTATTAGAAATTGTGATAGGTGATAAAAGACTGGTACAATCGTGCTTTTGGGACTAATGTAAAAGATACTAATACGTTAGAAAAATAAAATGACTTAACAAAGTTAATACGTTATAGTGCAAGAGAGGTTGGCAGTTTCATATCTTTATAAGAGTGATATAGATTTACTTTTTTGTGGTTATTGTTATTGATATTTTTTTTGTGTGTGTCGACCTACTTTGGCCCAACGTGGCTCTACCACTGATTATATATATTACATATCTCGTATCATGCTATTCCGTTCTGAAATATGTATGCCAAAAATAACAAACAACATAATCATACCACAGGGGAGAGATCCGGTTCTGGCCGCGCCCGGCGCGGTGGCATATGTATTTCTGTACAATTTTATATCGAGGTTATGGGCGCGATTATTATTAATTCCGCCGGCAGAAGGTCCTAGCTAGCTATTAGCTAACCTACTGCATGAATTTCCCCGCTACAGCAATATCATTACAATAATATCAATGGCTCGCTACACCATATTTGCTGCATCACTAATAATGGCGACAGTAATTGTGCTATTAGTCGGTGGGGGGCATTTGCGCACTTCCCTTGGAGCTCCTATTTGTGGCGAGAGATCAGGCGACGTTCGCCGGTTATGCACGTGTCCTTCTTGACGAGCTGGTCCAGAAAACGACATCCGTGCTCTCAGATTACTTCACCTACTACGCCTCGATTCCAAAAAGTGAGGGTTCTGGTTCCGCTATAGGCGCTGGCACTTGTTATGATCAAGGAGACAAGACTGCTGAGGATTGCGGCAAATGTCTCTCTGAATTGCGGCCGTATTTGGAGGAATGCGCAAACAACTCTTCTACCGCGGGAGCTTTCTATCAAGGAAGGTGCATGATTAAGTTCTGGGAATATGTTATGGTTGACCGTCTTCCATGAGACACCAAATAACCTACCTACATCTCTACTTTAGTACTTTATCTATCTATCAATCTATGTTATGTTGGTACCTGCTATATATGACACCTAAAAATTATTAAAGGGTCGTTTGGAAGTTGCAATTGTGAGTGTTGTATTTATAGAATACATGCATTGTCCACAATACAACGTTTGGAATTGTCAAAGTGTGAAACAATACATGTATTGTTTTGTGTGGGTTCCACCTACAATCACAAAAAAATGAGGTATTATACAATCTCAACTAAAAGTTGAGATTATTGTGATTGTTGCTTTTAGGTTTATATCTCCCTATCATATTCATTTATTTCCTTAGACCTTAGTAAAGGTGGAAAAGAGTTATATGTTGTATGTTAAAATAAAGGGTAAATGTGATATTTTCACCAAAAATTTACTTTATGTAAGTTAATCACTAACCTATAAACTCAACAACCATTGTCAAAAAAAAAAAAAAAAAAAAAAAACTCAACAACCAAACAATGTAATGTTAAATACAAAGATTGTATCAACACATATATTATATATTGCAATGATTCTTCACAATACAACTATTTAACAAACGCAACTTCCAAACGACCACTAAGTGTCTGGGATATGGTTTTCTTACTTGCAATGCACCTGCAGGATGTGTATTTCACTTTGAAGTTGTTGTTTTCATTTCAGTGTCGTTTCAAGTAAGTTTATTTCATTTGTTCGTGTTCTTTATGTTTTTCTTTGCGTAATGTATGTCGTCTCATTTTGCTTTTATATATAATGGATTCATTAGTGAAGGACAATTCATACGGTACTTATTTTAAACGAAAACACTTGAGACCATAATTTTTCATTAAAATTCTGACAAATGAACCATGACATTCACTACAAGAAACAACACTTTTCTTTGCCAAATATTTCTGCGAAAAAATCTCCCGTCGCTTAAGGAAGTTTATGTGCATCGAACTGTCAACCTCTCTTTCACTATAATAGCACTTAAGTAGTATCTAATCACAAAAAAAGAAAATTTATATCACTCTTATAAGGGCTATCGAACTGTCAACCTCTCTTTCACTATACTGTATTAACATTATTGTTCAGTTTCAATTCATTTTACTTTATGTTTAGCATCTAATTTATTTATTCATTAGTATCTTTTACATCAAACAAAGAAACACGACTGCACCTGTCTATCATTACCTATCACAATTCCTAATAAGATCTCCCCCCCCCCCCAAACTATCACCAATCTATTGTCTTCTACTCATAAACCACGATTCCGAAATTCCCACAAGCCGCAACTTCAATCTAATAATTCTGTCAACCGTCAACTGCTAGCTGCTTAGTCCGTCCGCTTGCCGCTCGTCGTTCTCTATTGTATTCACCATTTGTTTAACGACAGAAATCGTATAGCGTGATGTCATTCCCCAACATCCGAGTTAGGTTGTCGACTGTCGTTTTCTGTTAACCGTTCACAATGACCTATACTGTTGTTCGACCCACCTTAACATAATTCTTGGCTACGCCACTAGTTCACAGTATTATCGTTGTTTAGTGTGATATATAGGAGAAGAAGAAGAATGGTAATGATATATAGGAAGATCGAGCAACATCGTAGCATCATAGTTTATGTTGTTTGGTGAAGAGGTGCCCATGTTATGAAAATATAAAAAATAATAATCGACAATTGCAATTCACTGAAGTACATCTTAATTACGATCAGACAACTTAAAGTACGATATATTCTAAGTAAGCTAGTTATTACCATATACATGCATATATGAGAATATTGAATAAACTAGCTCTAAACGTACAATAACCCATGAGTTTAATTTTATACTTCTGTATTGGGAGTAAGGACTACACGTTTGTAATTACATTTATGTTAAAATGAGAATAACAAATGAGGTAGTAAAATGGAAAACACTGTTACTAATAATTAGGGGTGGCTATACGGTCCGGTCCGATTAAATTGGCCCAAATTGATCCAGTCCAGTTCGGTCTTTTTGAAAATATAAGGACCAAAGATTGGATTGGATACAATCCGGTCTTAATCCGGGTCCGGTCCCAACTCGGTCTTGATTTGATATTGAGTTTGTGGGGGTTTGAGTGACCTAAGGCCTGAAAGGGTGAGGAGTTGGTTAAGTTTTGTACTAAGTGCAACGGTTTGTGACCGTTTATGCAAATTACCCTTAAGTTTTAGGTGTTGAGCTCTCTTATCAGGTCTCTATCCATTTTTCGATCCGGTCCCGAACCGTTTTTTACCTCAAATCTAAAACCAAAGATTAGATTGGATTGTTTACTATCCGATCCCGATCCGGTCTCGGTCCGGATTATACTGTCCGGTTTCGGGTTAAACCAAAAAACCCGGACCAAATAGCCCGCCCTACTAATAATGATACCGCAAGGGAGATATTCGGTTCTTGCGGGTGTCCGGCGCTGTGGCATATATCTATATCTGTAGTACAATTTTATTTCGAGGTTATTAATCATTCCGGCGGAAGGCCCTAGCTAGCTAACCTAATTAATTGCATGAATTTCCCCGCTCGATCCTTGGACCTTCAACCTTGCCTAGCTATAATACGTAAATAATCGGTTGACGTACGATTGATGCAGTCTTGTTATGTGCAAAAAATAATTAAGGAGTATCTCCATATCCGCCGGCCGATTCGCATCCTCCGGTTGCTCGTCAGGAAACTGTATATACTTATACAGTGCCCAAAAACAAGAACAAAAAAAAAAAAAAAAAAAAGAGGGATGAAGGAGAAAAACACTACCGACCGATCGATCGAGTGGGAGAAACAAACGAGAAGCTAGCTAGGGCGTAGCCTATATATCTCTCTCTCAAGAGTTCAAGATTAATTAGCCAACCGGATAAATATAATTAGTTAATTACAATAAATATTAATGGCTTACCACACCAGTACATTTGCTGCATCACTAATGGCGACAGTTATTATTGTACTAGTAGTCGGCGTGGGGCATTTGCGCACTTCCCTTGGAGCTCCTATTTGCGGCGACACGCCGGCGAAAGATCAGACGGGGTTCGCTGATTATGTACGTGTCCTTCTTAACGATCTGGTCAATGAAACGACATCCGTGCTCCCAGATAAGTTCACCTATGACTCCATGATTCCAGGAATTGGCGGTCCTGGTTCCGTTTCAGGCACTGGCACTTGTTACGATCAAGGGGACAAAACTGCTGCGGATTGCGGCAACTGTCTCTCTGATTTGCGGCCGTATTTGGACGATTGCACAAAGAACTCTTCTACCGCGGGAGCTTTCTATCAAGGAAGGTGCATGATTCAGTTCTGGGAAAATTTACAGTAGTAGTAGTTGGAACTTGAGCGCATAACGCCAATAAAAGTGTATCTCACTTTGAACTTGTTATTTCCATTTCAGTTTCGTTTCCAATAAAGTTTACTTCAGTTGTTCGCTTTCCTTCTGTTTTTCTTTGCGTAAGTTCTGTTATAATGTGCTCAAGATATCTAAAATTAAGAGAGAGGGTGCGTGCGTATGTACACCGGAGGTGTAAACCAGAGTATCAAAATTTACAGGTCAATATGGCAGAACGGATCCAAATTAGGTATATTTTGTCTTATGATGTGGATTTTCCTATTTGAGAAACAAATTCAACTATGGCATTCACTACAAGACATAATATTTTTCGTTTTAAATTCTAAACTGAATATATGAATATTGATGCTATATGAACGTGTTGGAATTTTCAATATATTTTGAATCCATTTAAGTATGAACTGTTATTTTTGTATAATGATATATGTTATTACCCGCATGTCAGATGATATTGAATATAATTTATAAATGTACGAACTATGTAATAATATTTTTTTCCCATATATTGGAGTATAACTGAACTAAAGTAATCTGATTATGAACTCTCGACTCAATTGTTCTACCGGACCAACATTTTGGAAGCTTTATGATCGACATGATATATTCCTTCCCGCAGACCCTAACGCATCAATTTTGCCCGGCTCTTCAACAATCCGTTGACTTGACGATTCAGACAAAAAAAGAAAAACAAAATTATATAATTGGTTGATGATTAATGCACGTATATGAATACAATATTTATCATGTCTGTCTCACCTTCTCAGCGTGTACTGCGAAAATGAATACCATTGACGGCCACCGTACGTATGTATCATTACCCAAAAAATTTATTTAGAATATAAATAGCGCCTATTTGGTTTAATGGGTCTAGTGGGGAGTGGGGATGTCCACCGTACTTTTCCTGTACGCCACGCGAACAGCCGTCCATATACATAATCAAGTTTAATCTCGCCCATTGAATCCTCTCTTCCCAGCGTTATCCTCTTTTTCGAGCGTTGCTTCATCTTCAATGGACAATCGAACAGAGCATAGGAATTTGATCCGAGGAAAGGGATTTCGAAGATACGGCTTCTATCCCATATTCTCCGTTCTCGATCTCACCATGTCCAATCGGCATTCCATGGTCGTCATACTGGAGATGAGCGCAGAAGATAGGCGACTCTGGCACTCTGCTTCGCCGGAACGATGGATAGATCCGGATATAATCGAAAAGGTGTGGCAAGTATTGTGCATTCCTATTGAACCAGCCTCTGATACCATGATAAATCGTAAAGACGAGAAATAAAGAGAGACGATTTTAACGTGGTTAGACCTCGCAATATGCGAGACTTACATCCACAACAAACAAAACTTTTCTTTATTACGTTACAGCTGCGGCCAAAGGCCTTACATGCATATTTAAACCCTTCACCACATGACCTAGGGTACAATATATTAGTAACGTTAGCTATCCCATTACCAAATGAACTAAGAATATAGCTACACAAGCCGAAGTGACTCGTGGCTGAGTTTTGGAGTATGTGATACTTTATGTATTCTTAATGAGGTATTTTTATCTAGATCATGAAATTTGAGTTTAGAATATGATATTATACGTTAACTTATAATAAATAATTCTCAGGCCTAATTTTCTGAACTTGAACCCAAAAATTGATCTAATAATTGACGCTTCTGGTTCACTGAAGTACATTTTACGATCAAATCATTTAAAATATGATATAATACTTGAAATATGCCAGTTATTATCATATACATGCATTTACGGGAATATTGACTAGCCTAGCCGTAAACGTACAATAAAAAATACTCTGAACTTGTTTCCGTCCATTACATTATCCCAAACACCGTTACTAATTTCCTACAGTCCCATTGTAATACTAAAGTCTTTCTAGTGGTAAAATTATGTTTAAACACTGATAATGTAATGGTCAACTTATCTAGGCTTGTCAATTGAACCCGAATTCCGGGTGCCCGACCGAACCCGCCCTGGTTGGTGGCGGTTAAAAATCGGTCAAACGGATAGTTGATGGTTTGTGGGGAATCTGTTACCCGCTACAGCCGGTTGTCGGGCGGTGGTGGATTTATGAAAATCCGCCCCGAGAGAACCCGAAACCCGCTTCCCCTCTGAATATCCACCCCACCCCCAGTCCCCAGTTCATTTCGCGAAAAAATCTCATCCCCTTACAAACCCTAGCGCCGCTCTAAAAAATAAAATCCCCAACCCTGCCCCTTCTTCTTCTCCTCAAATCTCGCAATATGCTCTTCGATTGTAGAGAAAAACGGCACAAAATCATTACATTCATTGTTTTTAAGAGCAGATACCCAATCAATCAGAGCAAACCCTTCGATTTTTTCGAATCGAGCCATTCCCGATGGCGATTACAGCGCCATTTTCCCTTTATCGACTCTTCGAGTTCGATACCATCTTCTTTTTCCCCTTCATGCATGCGCCTATAAATACCTTACTTGAGTTTTTTTGCTGCAGATTGCCAGATTCTCAGAAAGCAGATCACTCAGAGAGAAGCAGTAAGCTAGCAGTTGTCTGCAATTGCGATTTCCAGTCACTGGCTCACTGCAACTGCGAGGTGAAGGAAGCACAACCGTAAGTGTTCTTCTTAGCCTTTCGTCTGGGATTTGCAAGATTTTTTTCAACAACTTGTCTCCTGTGACTTCTCTAATACCTCGGGACTTTGTTGATTGATGTTAGGGTTTCTGGTGGCGGGGTTGTCATTGATTAGTAACGAAGCTTAGAAAGGTAATACTACTTGATTCTCCTAGTTCTTTCAGGTTTCAAGGAATTTAGCAGCAACTAATTGGTTTCATTGGTTTGTTTTCTCGGGTGATTACAGGTAATTAATGGAAGGAGTTGAATTATCTCCCGCACCTAATTCTCGATCCTCACTCCCACCCCCCAATCCTCAGCCCCTGCCTGAACAACAGCAGCATCAATCAGCGATTGTTGTTGATGCACCAGCAGCTGTGAATGGCAATGCTGATACTAGTGCTGCTGCTGGTGGTGAGTCAGAGCCCTCTCCCCTGCCTTTCGGGGCCAAACGTCCACTGAAAAGTGATGTTTGGCCTCACTTTACAAGGTTTGTGGATAAAGATGGTGTAATGAAAGCACGATGCAAGTACTGTCGAAAGGTTCTTGGTGGTGACACCAGCAATGGTACCTCTCATTTGAGGAACCATACAAAGGTGTGTGTTCATAAACAAATTCACGATGGTAATCAGAAAAACATTGCCACTAATTTCCTCCCTAATGGTTTGATTGGAAAGAAAGAACTGTGTACTGGTTAGTTCAATGCAGAGGTTTCAAGGAGGGAACTTGCCACTATGGTTTTGATGCACGAGTATCCACTTGGTATGGTGGATCACTTGTATTTCAAAAAAATTTGCAATTCTCTGCAGCCATTGTTCAAAGTTCCCTGTAGAAACACTTGCAAGAGTGATATTCTTGCCTTGTATGCGATTGAGAGGAAAAAGATTCAAAAAATGATTGATGGTAACAAAGGTAGAATTGCTGTCACAACTGACATGTGGACAGAAAGTAATCAGAAGAGGGCTTACATGGCTGTAACCTCTCATTATGTTGATAACAATTGGAACCTTAGGAGCCACTTGTTAAGGTAAATTGCTTATTCAATTTGTTCTTTCTTTGATGTTTATTTGTTTAACACTTAACAGAAACTGACTTCGAGCTTCATTTGATGTTTGTGTGAGTGTATGACAGGTTTCTCTATGTTCCTGCCCCCCCCCCCATACTAGTGAGAAACTTGCAAGTGTGCTCCGAGAGGCCCTAATGTCATGGAATGTGGACTGTAAGTTATCCACTATCACTCTTGACAACTGTTCTACAAATGATGCCATGATTGAAAAGATTAAAAGGAAGATGGTTATGTCTGACTTTCTATTGAATGGTTCCTTCCTGCAAATGAGATGTTCGGCTCACATTCTTAACTTAATTGTTAAAGATGGGCTTGAAATTATAAAAGATGGGATTGAAAAGATAAGGGAAAGTGTGGTGTATTGGACTGCAACTCCTAGGAGACTTGAGTTCTTTGAATAGACTGCTAGGCAAAAGAATGTTTGTATTGGAAAGAAACTTGCACTTGACTGCCCTACTAGGTGAAATTCCACCTTGCATATGCTTGAATCTGCAATTCCATACAAGGAAGTGTTCACTCGTTTGAATCAGAGAGAATCTAACTATACTTCCTTGCCTAGCAGTGATGATTGGATGTTTGCTACTGTTATTAGCAAAAAGCTTGAGATTTTCAGAAATATTTTTGAGCTTCTTTCTGGAAGCAATTATCCTACTGCTAATATATTCTTTCGAAGGATCTATGACTTGAAATTGAATCTACTTGAGTGGATGACTGATCCTGATAGCATCATTTGTGAAATGGCCGAAAAAATGTGGGCCAAGTTTAGCAAATACTGGACGGATATCCATGTATTGCTCACTATCGTTGTTGTTGTTCTTGATCCTGCATACAAACTTGAGCTGATTCAGTACTATTATGATAAGAGCAATGGCTCTGATCATACTCTTGATCCTGTGACTGTTAAGGCCACTGTTTATGATGTTGTCCGTGAGTATCAGTTGAAACAAAAGGGCAGAGATGACCATTCTGCCTCCTCTGGTTCTGTTAATGGTGTTAAGGCCAATTCTGGTGACCTTGACTTCGAGCTTTATTTAAGCCGAAGGAAAAGGTCCAAAACGGTTTCACTATGCTCTGAATTGGATCATTATCTCTGTGAGGATGTTAGTCCTCGAAGTTCAAATATTGGGGTTTTGGATTGGTGGAGGGTGAATGCTGGAAAATACCCACTTTTGCAAGAGGTAGCAAGAGATTTGCTTGCTGTACCAGTGACCTCTGTGGCCTCTGAGTCATCCTTCAGCTCTGGTGGTAGGCTGCTAGTTCCTCACCAAAGTAGGCTGCACTTTGAAACTGTCGAGGCACTCATGTGCACCCGTAGCTGGATTCAGAGTGACATTTGCAAAGGTAAGAGTCTTATTTTTGTTATTTCCCGGTCTGTTTTAATTTCAAATATTCGAAAGTTTTGTTAACTATACTCTGCTTGAATATGCAGATGCTGGAAAGGCTGACATTCAAGGTTTGGAGACTTGCTTCTCTGCGATGACAATGGAGGATCCAAGTTGTGAAGAGTTTAAGAAAGAAGGTACTTGTGCTCTGTTTTATTATTATGAACAAATTATCTTAAGTTAGTAGTTAACAAGTACCTTAAATTGTCATTTGCCACAGATTTTCAAGGTAGCCAGAGTCGTACACTCTTGGACATTGAAGATTGAAGTGTGCTGCTGGTGAATGGTGATTGTTGTGCTGGGTTGCTGGATTTTGTTTGCTGACTGATTGCTTGATGATGATGCTGCTCGATAAGACTGAAACTGAAGGGTGAAGAGAACTACTGCTGCTCTTTTTTGTTGTTTGGTTCAATTTGGAACTTGTTTTTTTTGGTTTGGTTTATGGCTATATGCCTTTATGGATGTTGGAATCCAATTTCGAACATGTTTTCTTTTGTTTGGATGATGAATTATTGATGTCTGGTTGCTGGATTTTGCAAGTTGATGGATTTCATCTGCAATTTATGCAGTTTTTCAGTTTCAATTTGACTGTAATGTCTCTGCTTTTTTGTTGGATTCAGCAGATTTGAGCTGTGTCGGGTAAACCCGCTATAACGAGTTCTAACCTGTTACCCGTTGGTTTCGGGGGTGGGCCTAAAAAAAGGCCGCTAGTGCTAACGGGGCGGATTCGGGGAAAACCCGCTATACTTTCGGGCGGGTGACGGATGGGCCTGCCCCGGCCCCGATCCGCCCCGTTGCCAAGCCTATAAGTGATGAAGAAGCGCTTAAACAAAGATCTTATAAAACACAAAACAAGATAGCCTACAACTGAGTTTAAATGTTTGTACATCAAACAAGTCCAATAATTAACAGTATTATCATCGGAACAGAAGGGGTTCATTCAAGAAGCCGTAGAGGACGGTACATATATATGATGTATGATGGTAGCAGAAAATGGCGAGCAAACTGAATGCTTTATTCAATATTAGTAAGAAACTAGGTTGCTGTCATATTACATCGTGTTTCACTGGTCTCGCCAATGACTCTTATCGAAGCTGCAACCCTCAACCTGGAGTTGCTTGCAGCTGCCAATAACACACACAACAAATAATTTATAAGACTACCAAACGAACCAAGACAACATCCTTTGCCTTGGCTTTTAAGACGCTTATTACGGCACACATACTCTTAACGCCGAAACGGCGAATATATAACGAAATGACTTCACGTGCTGACTAAGCACGTGACCTTATTTTTGAAATTAACATATGACGACCTAGATGATTATTTAGCGTGCGAGACGTAGATGAACGCCATGCACACGTAGGATACGTATGAGCGAGAGCTCGGCTTAGAGGTTGAGGGGTTCCTCTATGGGTACGATGACTTGAGTGGTGGTGGTAGAAGTGAGGAGGCCATCTTCAAGACGATAGGTGACAGCTTCTTCGTCGTTGTAAAGCTTGTCGGTGTACGAGTAGGAGAAGGGAACCTCACGGGTGGTGGTTCTCTCCTCCATGGAAAGCCTCACCTGCTTCATCGGAGGCACGGTGTAGTCCTCCTCTATTTCTTTAGTCGTGGTGGTTGTATTGGTCCCTCCCTTCATCTCTCCTTGAGAGTATTCGCCCGAGATCTCGAGCTTTGCTCCGCCGAGGAACTTGCTCAGAAACCCCGTTCCCGGGATCTTGAAATCCACGGTGAGCTTGCCGCCTATCTTCCAAGCCATGGTGCGACTCCAGGTGGCGGAGGCGGTCTCCGTCGACACAAACTTGTGCTTCAACTTCCTTGTGGTCGAGGTTCCGTTGGGAAAGATCTTGTGGCCGGGGTCCTTCATGGTCGACACCGTGACGGTTCTGACGTCATCGGTCCGGATGTCCACGTCGAAGATGCGCCTCTGCTTCACTGGCTCTTCCACCACTAGGTGCGAGTAGCCGTCCACGTGCGGCACGTTTGCTCTCAGGCAGCTGCCGATGCCGGAATCCCAGAATCGCTTGCAGAAGAGGCCGTTGCCGCAGTTCCTGAGGGCGATCTGAACGTTTTCGGAGTTTCCAGACTCCGCCACCCTAACGACCTGAAACACCGTGTCCTTGTTGTCGAAGGTGGCGTCGGTTGAGTCGCATCGAATCCAGTCCTCGTGGTCTGCATCCCTCCTCCAAAAGTTCCCCGTCGCAACGGATTGTATGCGAATGGTGGCATCCGACGGGTTAACAAACACGTGGTGCGCCGCAGACAAGTCCTCGATTGTATCGACCGAGAACTGGAGTGCATTCACCCAATACGACATATCGGGCATAAATTTTGAACCTATAATAGCAGGAGCACCTAGTATTGGAAGCAGCCACGAACCAGGCATCACCAAAGAAAGAGGACCCGGAGGGGGCACGTGAATGCTTGCATGCTTGACGTACTTGCCGTTGTCTCCTTTAAACGCCACGAGCTTAGGCAGAAGCACCACCGCCTCCGAGTAATCCACCACCTCACAAACCTCGGCTTGCTCCCGCCGGCCCACCACTAGTACACGGTCGGGCCCAGACTGGCCCAGGTACGAGTTGGAATGGGCGTGCAGGAGCCGAACCACTCCCTTGCCCTCGAACTCGGCCATGAAGAGTGTACAGGCCCATTTGGACGTGTCCTCCTCGGGGGCATCGGCTCCTCCGGAGATCAAGCTCACAGGTTGGCTGGCTTTGCGCCAGTATTTGTTGTTGTAGCAGCAACTCAGATTGTACATGGTCGTGGGCCCTCCTCCTCCGGCTTGCCGGTGGGCGACTGCTTCTGCACGGAACTTGACGAAAGGGCTCACGATTTTGTCGCCGGAGAACTCGAGCGTGCCATTGGCGTTGGGCTCGTACCGCAGGTACTTGCCGTTGGACTTGCTCTTCAGCGCAAAGAATTCTGGCAGTGCCAATATCGGACCGCTACTCATGATTCTCTTTGTATTTTATTCTTCCCTTGAGAGATGTATGTGTGAGTAGGGAAGTGGTATGATCCAACCTCATGCCCATCTCTCTATTTATAGCTTCGCCAAGTTGGCTTTGTTTGTTTCCAGCTAGCTAAACTTGAAGTTAAAGTGTTCAGGGGAAGACAAGGAAAGTTACATTATTTCGGTGTCTTATCATTCCTGATACCATGGTTGTTTGTGAATCTGTATCACATGAGGTTCAAACGCAAAATATCAGTACTGTCGGAGACTAAACCGATAGGCGGTATTTAGCGGCATTAATAGTTGAACTACAGTTAAATCACATTTTCCCCATAAAATTAAAAATATGTACCACTGACTTTTCCTGTACAGTTTCACAAACCTTGCCTGATACGAATTTTACAATTCATGATATTTATAATCTTATAAGGATGGTAAGATACAAAAAAATTTAGGTTTATATTTTATACTGGAACTCGAACATTTATTTGTCGCACACGTTGCCATTGGAACTTTATTCCTAATTTATATTATATATTGATATCATATCTCTTTCCAAAAGTAGCGAAGAAAACTTTACCACACTACAATACAAGCCACTGGTAGTTACAGTCTTCACAGTGGGTCGGTACGTATTATTATAAGGGGGCATTTTGTATACGTGGACCTATTTCACCACGTCACCTTGTACACGTGGGTCTTCAAGCCATTAGAAGGGTGACATATGTATAGCAATAATTAGTATTATTATAATTATCATCCTGATTTATTCTCTCTTTCCGCAGTTCTTTCCCCCATAATTTTCTCTTTTCACCTTGAATTGTTCCTTTGGAATCCATAACATAGAGACCAACGCATTCATACCCTATTTGATTAATTAATATTACCTTGATGTCCGGCTTGTCAGCCGGAGAAATTGGAACATAATTTATTTTAGGGTAAACACTAATTATTATTAGTTTTTATTTTAATACTATAACATATCAGAAACATAATGTCTTGACAGACTTTGTGTGTTTGATGGGACCGGTTACTATGACAACACCCCTTGTGTTGTTATTGTAACAACACTAGTCTCCAACCAATAGGAAGCTAGGGTTGTGATGACTTTTTATTAGATGAGTTGACCTAGTGTAAAATCAAAGCAGGGGTATAATTGTCATTATGAAAAATATGTTAAAATAATAAAAAAATAAAAAAATAAAAAAAATAAAAAATAAATTTTTTTATTTTTTCGGGCCAAATTTTGGTTGCCGGAATTCTGTCACCGGTCGCCGGAAAATGGTCGCCGGTCACCGGAATATGCTTTTCGTCGCCGGAATATGCTATTTTGTCATCGGAATATGCCACCGTCGCCGGAATATGCTTACCGGCGTCGGAATCTAGTCATCGGGGCCGGAATATGCCTATCGGCGCCGGAATCTGGTAACTGACGGTCATCGGAGTTTGGTCAACAATTTTCGTTGACCGGTCAACGGTCTTCGTTGACCGGTCAACGGTCAACGACCACCGGATGTTATGGTGTGCATTGTGAGATTTATGGTTTGGTTTCTCGTATTTATGTATGTCTTTTGTGGTTTGCTTTATCGTCTCTATGGTTTGCATTAAGAAGTTTCTGGTTTGCTTTATCGTGTTTGTGGTTTGCATTGAGAAGTTTCTGGTTTGCTTTCAAAAAATTTGTGGTTTGCTTTGCGGGGTTTCTGGTTTGTTTTAATAGATTTTTGGTCTTCATTAGGACGTTTCTGGTTTGTTTTTGTGGTTTGCTTTATCGTGTTTGTGGTTTGCATTATGAGGTTTCTGGTGTGTTTTTTAAAATTTTGTGGTTTGCTTTGCGGGGTTTCTGGTTTGTTTTAGTAGATTTTTGGTCTGCATTAGGACGTTTCTGGTTTGTTTTTTTGGTTTGTTTTAACGTGTTTGTGGTTTGCATTTTGAGGTTTCTGGTGTGCTTTCAAAATATTTGTGGTTTGGTTTGTGGTGTTTCTGGTTTGTTTTAGAGAATTTGTGGTATGCATTAGGAGGTTTCTGGTTTGCTTTTTTGTGGTTTTTTTTATCACGTTTATGGTCTGCATTAGGAGGTTTCTGGTGTGTTTATTAAAGACTAGTAATCTGCATACCGATAACTCCTAAAATGCATATCATAAACACTATAATAAACTAAAATACATCAAAAACTAGATTTTTCTTCTTATTCTTCCTTTCTTCTCCTCTCTGCTCTCGCCAGCCGCCACTAAAATACATTAAAAACTAGATTTTCTTCTTATTCTTCCTTTCTTCTCCTCTCTACTATGTCAGCCGCCACCTCTATCTTCCTCTATCCACAACTCGCTCCCAATTCACCACACCACACGACCCAACGTCGTCCCCTCTCCATCCCCTCTCCACAATTTGCAGATTATTGTACACTTGGCCCATCGGCGCCGGCGTCGGAGAAGAAACCGCCTCCAGCATCCTCCGCTCGGCGCCGCCGCCGATTCCGAAAATTAAAAGGTACATGTTTCGAACAAGCAGAAGAATTTGCTCTCCCTGAACCCAATCCCCACGCAATGCCGACTGTCATCCCAGGCGTGGTAGTGGTAGTAATTCTTCCATGCCGATGCCCCGCGGCGGAAGGTACAGAAGGTCCGATCCTGCGCGTCGATGACGAGAAAGAGCGACAATGTTTCACCCCGTCTCCATACCAATTCGACGGCGGCAACGAAACCTCTTCCCACCGTTTCACTCGCTTAGGTAGCGTCGTCGATGTTTCAATTCCATCCACACAATATTGCAGACAAATTTTCCCCCAATCCCGAGCTCAATCGATGCAGCTGATGCAATGGCGCCGGTGATGGTACAGATGCGGATTGGCGCCGCCGATGGCGAAATAAAAATTCCTCTATCCCGCACCACTCCGGAATCGTCTCTTCTTCGTCAGTTTTCTAGTAAACGACAGCTCCTTGCACTTCATCGCTACCCTCTCGCCAAATTCACTTGTTGCTAATCTTCTTCTTCTGGTATGTACCCAAAAATTTTGACCCACACCTGACAATGATATCTTTTGGTAGAACAAACACAAAGTTCTATAATCCTTTGCCTACGAGTGGCGACCAGGAAGAAGAAGGAGAGCCCCGCCTGTGAGTGACGACCCGGAAGAAGCAGAGCGTCTCCTGCGAGTGGCGACCGGGAAGAAGGAAACCAGTGCAGGCCCTGGTTCGAGTCCGAATACGATTTTGATGTCATCATCGGCGTTTTCGAAACAAGCGTCTGGCCCGACCGTCGGAGCTTCTCCGACATGAATCTCGGCCCCGTTCGCTCCCGGTGGAAGGGGATCTGCCAGGTCGAGATCAGATCCATCGCTAGAAACTGTAATAAGATGTTAATCGGAGGGCGATTTTTTGAGAAAGGCAGCGCGACGGAGGCCAATGGGCTCAATCAGAGAATCCGTCGACGATAAGGGAGGAGAAGGAGATCGGGAGACGGGGTCGGCGATAAGGAAGGAGAAGGAGATCGAGAGACGCAGAGAAGGTAGTTGGGTATTGAAAATTTATAATTAATTTTAATTTATTATTTTTTGTTGGTTTTCCTTTTTTACCCCTGATGTTACTATAACAACACTTATAGTGTTGTTATTGTATCTGCACCCGTGTTTGATTCAGATCTCTAGTCTGAAATTGGGATAAAATTAAATCTTGTCATTCCATGGAATTCATATGGGAGTTAATATTTGACGCCCTAAATTTTTAAATTTGTCGTCCTAAATTTATTAAACAGACGATTTTGCCCAACTTAAAGTAAATCCGGGAACCGACAACTCAACTCAATTTCCCTCCCTTGCCGAAAAATTTAGGGCGTCAAACATGTCCCCTACCAGCAGGCAGCAACAACCCGTCGAGAAACGGATCGTCTCCCGGCCCAAGCCTTCGCCAGTTACCTACCCACCCTCACCATTCACCAGACGTAGACACCCTGCCTGACTAGCCTGCTCGCCGGCCGGGTTAAAATCCCATCGCCGGCGTTGTAGGGACAGGTCGTGAACATTTTTTCGATACCGTCGAAGACGGGATTTCAACCCGTCCGGAGACCATACCCAGAATTAAAAAAAAAGAAGGGCATGATGATCTCTCCGGCGAATCTCTTCGCTTCTCCTATTCTTCCTTCTTCAGACGGAGTTGGGCGACATAGGAGGAGGCGGTGCAGCAGAGGTGGGCGACGGAGCAAACAATCGCCCTTCTTCTCTTTCTGCTTCCTTCTTTCCACTTTCCACTTTCTTGTTTCTTTTTTAATTTAATTATATTTTATGTAACTGATTTGGTGGAGAAACACACGCAAACGGGAAAGGGAAATGAATTTGGGTTAAGTTGGGGAAGGGCAAAAGGGTCTTTTTGGAAGGGTTTAGGGCGATAAATTTGAATATTTAGGGCGTCAAATAAAAGTTCAGTTCATATATGAGATTTAAAAATCTAAAGCTAGATTAAAAAAAATCCAACTCAAATGCCAAGTTAGTATATATGAATAGAGCCGCGGATTGACTTTCGAAGCACGGTCTCATCTATTCCTATGATATGTATGAATTGGCGAATCCAGCCACTGAACTAGCTTCAACTATCAGAGATGACATGATGGGTGTTAGTTTTGAGGGCAATAACGAGAAGGAGAAGATCAGCTATGCATAAAAGAGAGCTAGCTATATTCTTTCCGGCAGGGATTAATTCCCTAAATACACATAAACTAAAACAAATTCCTAAACTATCACACTTATAAAAAAAAATTCCCAAAATACGTAAGTTTGGAGTGGTTCGAGTTTGACGAACTCGAACTACTAACCGGTTCGAGTGTAGGAGACTCGATCTAGTCGTAGATCGATGATATAAGCCTCGAACCATATGCAAACATTTTTTTCATTTCGCATAACTTTTTGAGAACTACAACTTTTATAATAGAAATATTTTCAAAATATATGTGAAAATGTGAAAAATAAAGTTAAATTTACTCCCAAACCACCTTATAATAAAAATAAAGTTAAA